ACTATAATATTCTAAATGTGGCTTAACCAGTGACCTATACAATGAAATCATAAGTGCTTTAGACTTTTATTCAATGTTTCTGTTGATACAACCTAAAATCTTATTTGCCCTATACTAAGAACAGCATACTGCTTGGATGACTTACAAAACTACTGATCAGCCAGAACACCAAGGTTATTCATTTTCTTCTCCAACACTGTTAAGATTATTCCCATTAAATGTATAATTATAATTCAAATAAAGAAAATCCACATGCACCACCTTTCATTTATTACAAATAAAATCCATCTGCCATCTATTCACCCAATGATCTAAATTCTTTCATAAAGTAGAAGCAACATCCTCACAGCCAAAAACACCCAAGACTAAATATCATCAGTAACTTATTAACCATTCCTTTATCTATGTCATAATGTTAATCAAAAAGAGCCCTGGAGTACCCTACGTCACTTGTAACATTAATCCAGTTTAACCGAATTTCATTTATATTATAATTAATTTATAATAAGCTCGCTATTCTCTATCCAAACACTTTATTCGATAAACCAACTTAATCCCACACCAATATCTATTATTTTGAATAATACTTTTATGTCAAATGTTTTCCGAAAACTTGGACACACCATATCTACAGCCTTAACTTCATCTACTTAGCACATAATGTTAAGCTAATTACTTTTCTCCAATAAAAAAACAAAACACAAGTTCATAAATTATGCCATCTCAGTTTTAGTTTATCATTTGAATCTTACTTGCTTATATAAAAAATAATAATATTACAACTGAAACAAGCACTTTTGCTTTAGAAGTTTAACCTGGTGAGAAAACAGCATTTAGATAATAATAATAAAAAAGATAGGACAACAATCTTAAAGTTAAACCTAATTTTACCTTTTCTTATTCAAGGTCGCAGACATCTTTGAACAAAGCGCCACCTTTCTTGTTGTTATTTTTAAACTGTTATCGAGCAATAAAAAAAAAGAAGTTATTTATTATTTTATTTGGGTAGAAACATAAGAAACTGATATTAAAGAGTTTGAGTTAGACTTGAAATATTTTTATGTGAATCTGATCACGTGGAATAATTCCATGTAAAGCTCACAATGCCACAGAGAAAGAAAGAATCTTCAGGCAGGGATAGTAGTAATGAGAAGAGAGAATTATCAGATGAATATCAAAATCTGCCCAACACATAGGCATTTGAGGCAGAGGCCACAGAATTAGAAGGATTAGAAATAGATCACATTGGAAATACTTCGCATCAGCCAAATCCAAGGCTCATTATAGACCACAATTTGACAAATAGGAGAAATGGTTGAAAGATTTTCCTGGCTCCACTACAGCCCTTGTTTGAAAAGGGTGTTATGCTTTTACTGTACAAAACTTTCAGAGAGAATTTATAGATTGAAAAAAAGCCCTGCTGATTGTCAATAACATAAGGTAGTGGTGGCAACTCATGTTCAGGAGGCAATACTAGTAGACACACAGCTCTGTAGTATTTTGGCATCACAGCAACAGGTGGAAAAATCTTGCCTGTTCAAGATTGTAAGCATAGTGCAGTTTTTGGCATGGCAAGGGTTGACTTTTAGAGGTCATGAAGAAAAGGAGGAGAATCTAAATCAGTTGATTCGAAATTATTTGCAGGGGTTCACGAGTTGGGATACTTGTTTGGAGAATCGAGGAAGATCTATATAATGTTTGAGGCAATAGCAAAGTCTGAGAGTGGATCCTACTCTACTTTGAAACTAATACGAGCCACTGTTGCTTAGTTTGGAAGAAATGGTTTCATCTAGTGCATTAGGTTCAACAACTAAAGCAAGTGGACTTCTGAAAAGATTCCAGAATGGGAAAAAATTCCTAGGAGTAATACTAATATCTGAAGTGATGGATGAAATGGAGTACCTGAACATCTCTCTGCAAAATAGAACACAAACCATTGTTGAAATGTTTGCTGCACTGGGGTGTATAGAAATTTCTCTTCAAGGGGAAGTACAGTTATGCTTTTAGATTGTTTTTTTTTACTTTGATGTTATGGTTATTTTATTTATATAACAAAACAGAAATTTTCACAACAAAGGGACCATTCTTGATATTGCCAAACTGTGCAAATCTAATTAATGATATTAATTACAACATTAATATTGTATAAGTTGTAAGAAATGGAGAATTAATACATAGAAATTTCCCCTGCTGCAACAGTCAAGATATTAGACAGCGGAAATCACGTGACGCTGGTAGCACGTCATGATATTTTCGAAGGTTCGTGAATGCTCGAGTGTTTGCTAGATGTGCGGTATTCTTGTATATAAGTGCACCAGGCAATGAATCGATATAGAATTGCAGACAGACAGAGACGGACAATTGAGTCAAGCGCAATAGTAAGTAAGTGCGTGAATCGTTCGTTGAGAATTATAGCGTGTGTTTAAGTGTGGAAATTAAGTGTATTGCAAAGTTGTATTGAGAAAGAATAAACTATTTTTATTTAAGAAAGGACTTGTATCGCTGAAGTTCTTCGGAAAGGATTTCTACGAAAAATTAACAAACGACCAGAGACGTAACACTATATACTATAACAGATAACATATTAAACTTATTTTACACAAACTTATCTTCATTCAAAGACTAATAGTAACACAGTTTCGTTCCTGCTTTTTTTTTTAAAGGCATTTTAACTGGATCACATTTTCAATTGAATTTTATACTGTATCAATCATTTATTTTATTTATTTTCCTCGAGTTACCCTAAGTAATATTGATGTAAGTGTTGTTACTGTTTTCGCAAGTTATATTGATACCTAAATACTGGTAAAAGTCTCAAACTAGTTCTGTTCAAAGTATGCAACTAAATCTTTGAAAGTTTCAAAATATTGTAAATATGGATATAACCACTATTCAGTGAATATTTTGCGTTAATGTAAGATAGAAAGGAAAAAACTCTTTTATTTCATTTGTTTTAGAAAATACCCTCTTTTATACCCCAGTTTTACGGAATGTTCCCTCCCTCATTTTTGAAACGAAAGTTTCGCCCCTGATAGGAGGGTTACAAGGATGGTTCCTGGAATTGAAGAGTTAATTTATAGGGTTAGGTTAAGATATTTTAACTTATATTCTTATGAGAATATAAAGATAAAAGGCGATTTTGTTGAAGTTTACAGAATTATACGAGAGCTGGATAGGAAAGGCCTTTGATTTCATTTTGTTTTATTCCGAAAGAAGAAGGACAAGAGAGCACAAGCTCATAATTTGTATAAGACGGGAAGGTTCCAGTTAAGACAGTTTTATTTTTCTAACAGGGTGGTTGGCTTATGGAATGAGTTGTCATCAGTAGTAGAGACGAACACTTGATAAGAGTTTAAGAGAGGAATCAATGATCTTCAGAAAAATAAAAGTTAAATTTTTATTTTTCTCAAGGGTGGATGTTAAAAGACAGTCTTCAAGGACCAAAATATCTCACTTAACAAATATTTTGTTGTTATCATAAACACATATTCTTAAACTGAATATCTAATTGGAAAGTATTTGATAGAGCGAATAGTAAACAACAAACTATATTAAACAAACTAAACGCTGGAGAATTATTTAAGTTTATAAACTTATAAAAATCCCATTCAAATTATAATTATATAAACTCAAATGATAATTGATTTGTTTTTATTCTGGTTTATTTTGTTTCGGCTATTCGCAGGGGGTGGTGTTAGCTCGCTGCCTTGCCTCTAGTCCTCTAGCTTCAAAATTAGGAACGGTTAGCACATATAGGGGCCCGGCATGGCCAGGTGGCTAGGACGCTCGACTCGCAATCCCCGTCACACCAAACATGCTCGCCCTTCCAGCCGTGGAGGCGTTATAATGTGACGGTCAATCCCAAGAGTAGCCCAAGAGTTGGCGGTGGGTGGTGATGACTCTAGTCTTACATTAGGGACGGCTAGCGCAGATAGCCCTCGTGTAGCTTTGCGAGAAATTCAAAACAAAACCAAAACAAGCACATATAGTCCTGTTGTAACTGCGCTAAATTCGACAAAAACAAGCAAACCATTATCAAGTCAAATTCGATGACGAGGAACCCACTTTGAGACTAATAATGGCTGGAGACGGCTTAAATGGGTAATGAAGAAAAACTTTAATATAAGTTTAACATGACAGCAAATGTACAACGTTTCGACAAGGTTTTGTCATCATCAGTTGTACCCTATGATGACAAAACCTTGTCGAAACGGTGTACATTTTCTGTCATGTTAATCTTATATTAAAGTTTTTCTTCATTACCCATTTAAGCCGTCTCCAGCCATCATTATCAAGTCACTTGTAGTTT